TGATGCTAATGTTACTTTTGAGATGTCGTTCATGCGTTACGAAGATCTATTTAAATTTGATTTCGCCAATTAAGATGATGCTTGGAAAGTGCGGCTGCTACTTCGTAAATTGGGTGCAACGGAGCTGGATAAGTAATGCAATCTGATCCTGCCTTTGAACCCACGTGACTGATCTTTTGCAGACCCAGTTCAAACATTAAGCCAACATTTTGGCGATAACTCGTCACTGTTTAATACTCGTTATCGATGCTTGAAGCTAATTATGAACGAAGATGATGATTTCCTTACGCATGTGGGCGTCGTCAACCTTGAATGCGAATGCTTCCGGTTAAAGTCTTTGACTGAAGATCAGTTTAAAGCCCTGATCCTCATTTGCAGCCTACAGCACCAAAAGTTCAGTGACTTACGAACAAGGCTACTAAGTCGATTGGACCAAGACCCAAAACTAACCCTTAATGATAGTGCAAACGAATATCAACGCCTAATCAACTTGCAGCGTGACACCACTTTGGTTCAATCTGGGGGCCAGAGTAGTTCCGAAGTTCATGCTGTTCAGCACCATAAAAAGTCTTCGAGATCGAAAACCTCGAGTCCTTCAAACGCTGTTTCCGTCCCCAACCACTCCAAACCAGCTCAGAAGAAGCCCTCCTGGTGTCGCTACATACCTTGACGATGTCCTCATTGTCGGCTCAACTGCTGATGAATTGCATACCAGAACACACTTAGTTCTACAACGCCTCCAAGATAATGGTTTTCGCCTTCGTCCAGAGAAATGCCAATTCTTCTTACGTTTCGTTAGATACCTCCGGACGACACCCTGATCCTCAAAATACTCACGCAATCCAACAAATGCCTGCTCCCACTGATGTCTCCTCACTGCAATCATTTTTGGGAATGATTAGCTACCATTCAGCATTTCTTCCATCACTGTATGACGTAAGATATCCATTGAATCGTCTGCTAGAAAAGAACGCTACTTGGAAGTGGTCCACGCAATGTGAGTTAACCTTTTCGAAACTTAAATCCATGCTAAGTTCCAAACTACTGCTAACGCACTACAATCCGAAACTACCCATTGTGGTTGCTGCTGACGCTTCAACACATGGACTGGGTGCCGTACTCTCGTATGTCTTTGCAGATGGTTCAGAGAAAGCGGTGATGAACGCTGAGAAACGCTACGGCCAGATCGAGAAGGAAGCGTTAGCCCGAATATTTGCTGTCCGTCGATTCCACAAATTCATTTACGGACACCGTTTCACTTTGCTCACAGACTATAAGCCGTTGTTATCAATCTTTGGATCAAAGAAAGGCATTCCTGTCCATTCTGCTAGTCATCTTCAACGTTGGACGTTGGTGTTATTGGGGTACGACTTCGACATCCAGTATCGACGTTCCGAAGATTTCGGCCAAGCAGATGCACTGTCCAGACTTATCAGTAACCATTCAACCACTGATGAGGACACACTCATAGTCACAATATCAACGGAAGAGGATTCCGGTGCTACACTATTAGCGAATGCCGTTCGAGCAATGCCTGTTACCACTGAAGCTGTTCCGGAAGCTACCACAGAAGACCCGATTATTCAAGAAGCTTTTTATTTTATTTATTTATTTTAACACATAGATATTGGTACAAGGAGGCACCAAATACATGTGCGCCACACGAATCTCAATTGATTTGTGTGAGGGCTGTGATACTGCCCGGGTGCCCAAACCGAAGCAGGTGGTTTTCTTAGGGGGCCACACCCCGAGCCTTCGACCTGAACGTCTGATCCACAAGGCAGTGGAGCATCGTAAGGAGATGCAGTCCCATGGTAGCCGGTGACCAACGATTGGTTCATACGCCATTTGTTCCTTCAGGATACTAGAGCCCATGTGCACCATTGGTTTGGGATCCGGTTGAAGCGCCTGATATTCGCTTTTCGTACTCTCATTTTCGTAAACAACACCCCTACCACAAGAAGGCAGTGAGTAGGACTTCCCTGGCAGAGGCTATATACGCGTGGCCATGTGAGAGTATTTCGAGAGGGAGAGCAGACTCTCCCCACTCTCGACCGTACCAGGGCATTTGGGGGCTATTCAAGAAGCGATCACCTATGTTCAGAGCGGATGGCCAGTTAAGCAGCTGAATGGTGATATGCAACAACTAGCGAATCGCCGCAGTGCCCTCTGTGTTGTTAACGATTGTCTGATGTTCGGTGATCGCGTAGAAATTCCAACAACCCTACGTTTCAAGGTCCTACGTCAATTTAACTCTGGACACCCAGGGATAAACCGTATGAAATCCATCGCTCGCAGCTATGCATATTGGCCGAACATGGACAAGCAGATTGTCGACTTTGTCAAAAGATGTTCACATTGTCAAACAGCTGAGAAAAATCCCCCTAAGTTGCCTCCAGTACCCTGGCCCAAGTCAGAAAAACCCTGGTCTCGAGTACATATTTACTTCATCGGACTTCTAGATGGTGTCACATATCTGATACTAGTTGATTCTTTCTCCAAATGGCCGGAGATATTGCCGATTGCGCCACCCTCTACAACTCGAACCATCGAACTCCTTAATCAGATCTTCGCTCAGCATGGTCTTCTAGAAACGATAGTAACAGACAACGGCTCACAGTTCACATCCAGTCAATTCCAAGAATTTCGCCTGCAAAACTCAATCAACCATGTCCGCTCTCCGCCATATCACCCGCAATCTAATGGACAAGCTGAAAGGTTCGTTGATGCATTTAAACGAGCCATGCTTAAAGCACGAGGGGAGGGGACCACAGAAGATATCATACAACGATTTCTAATGGGGTATCGGACGACCCCACATAACTTATTGCCAAACTTCAAATCCCCCGCTGAGATGCTTATGGGGCGGAAGCTACGGACAGTTTATGGTGCGATGACACCCAAGCAAGTGGCTCAGCAAAGCCCCCAGATGAAGAATACTAGAATTCCCTACAAAGTCGGTACAAAAGTGTATGCGCGGAATTATAGACACGGGTGCGATAGATGGGTAGGGGGTGAGATCACAGAGAAACATGGGGACGTCATGTATGATGTCAAAGTGAACCAAGAAATCTGGACCAGACACCACAATCAGCTAAGGCTAAGAGAAGCTAAGGAGAAAGAAGCAATTACGAAACGCATCCCACTCAACTTGTTGTTGGATACTTTTCAAATTCCGCCAATACCTCCAACAGAGACAACTAGGTCATCAACTCAAGTAGAACATCCTTCTGGCTCTGGGTGGTTACTTCGAAGGTCGGGTCGCAAACGAAGACACCCAAAGAAATTTCAATTAAACCCTGGGTTACGTCGCTATTAACTCTTCCAAAGGGAGGTGTTGGGGTATTCAGAAAATACCCCAGAAATTATCTAATGCCATTTCTGAGTGAGAAATTGTGTCATTTCCCCCAAAAACTCATAGTTTGTAATTTTATCTTGTGGAGATTGTATGCAGATGTATACGTGGGCATTTCTTACCACCCACGCACATAGTCAATTGATGAACTATCGGTTAGATGTTTAAAAGCTCCATGGCAATATCGATGTATATACATTTGTATATATACGTTTTAAATTGTCTTTGTAAGAATCGCTGGTTTTCTGGTTGTTGCAGAATATACTTCCATTCTAAGCTTGGTCTTCTTTCTCTAGATAGTGGGGCTGGGACGCGTCAATAGTTAGCTTACTGGTCTTGGACATCGGATCTCGTTCTCGTTCGCAGAATAAGTGAACTAGTGATAGCTTCAACCCTAACAGACAATGAGAGTTATAATCAATGAGAACATACATAACCAGTATGCACAATTAAGTAACATTCTTTATGCAAAATTTCAGGAAATTCGATCAAAATCTGTCGAATATAGATTTTTCGAAAAGCCATTTCAAATTTTTTTTATCCATGAGTATTGATGTTGGACCTGGACCCCTCATGGAGAACTTACCTTTAGTTGGTGATTATCAACTAAGCATCAAAATTTTATTGAGGTACCCAAAGATTCCGTAATATATCAGTATCAATCTTAGCTATAATAAAACTTTTGTCCTTTCCTTTATTCTGTTATTGGAAAATGGGTTCTAGGTTGATTGAAGGAATGTTATTACGTATACATGTTATGAATGGTTTGTGTTACTGATAATATTAAGGATGCTAATACTTCCGGAAAGCTCATTTTCTCGCTTGACTTTGGTTCTCTGTGCACCAGAGTACCTATAACTGAAACTACGTTACATATGTGATTATATTGATTCCATTATCATAGATATAAACCTATCGATTGGCCATTTCAAACTCTTGTTAGGTCGTACCTTTAATGTCCAGTTCAGTTTCAGCAATAAAATATATAGACAAAGAGATGGGATTGCAACGGAGTCTCTTTTGGGCCTAATCTTAACTAGTAGGAACTTTTCTGTATCCGCAAAGGATAAGCTTCCTCATCTGTTTACCTCTATATGCATATACCAGATCGCCTGATCTTGCGAAGCAAGGTACATAGGCCCCCGCCAGTGCTTGCTTTCAAATCGGATACGAGAACATTTACCAGTGTGGTTCTACAAGGGTGAGAGGAAAGCAGTTATATGTTTCATTCCTGAAAATTTAATCGACTCTAATCACTCCACTAATCCACAGGTTGATTTTAAGGTTGTTTAAACAATTCGATAAAACCTAGCACAATTTTTTTGTACCCAACTCCATAAAACAGCAGCTCTTGCTCTATGAGTTGAAGGCAGAACTGTGTATACAAGAGAAGTACGTCTTATCATTATCGTGTTTATTTCTTGTTCATATGTACTCACGGAAGTAATACTTTAACAAAATTCTCATATAAGTACGATTGTACAGCTCGTTAATAAATTCATTGAAAAAAGATCCCTTCGCTGAACTTCGTGTTTTTAATGTTGTATTGTATTCAATTTCTCAATGAAATAATCGATTTCATGCACAACCAAAAGATTCAGTGAGAAAAACTTTCAAGAACAACACAGTATAATAAACAACTCACTTAAGAAGAAGACTAACAAGACATGCATATAGCGAAGCAGTATACATGTTTCCAATATTTTTAGCGAACATTAGTCCAGGATCTACTTTACGCCTGTACAACGATTCAGTAGCTTTCAAACAAATTGTATCCAACTGGCGATCAGGAATACTAAAGTAAGTAACAAAAATGTTAGTCAGTAAGCAATATACAGGAATCATAATCGCTGAATAAAAGTGAAATCAACATTCGAAAATCAGGAGCACTAATTTACCAGGTGATATAGATTAGTTTACTTGGCTACGAGTCACACTCTAAATGTGGAAGATACTGATGCTAACCCAACCCGTTTCCCAAAATGAAGTAGATGGTGCGGAGTTCGAACCTATAACCTAGAGTGTGAGAGTTAAATTTAGAAACTAGAAAGTATCCAACAACTGTTCTACTCCATTCTACGCCAGAACGTGTCAGAAGTTAAGACTGATAACACCTCTCAATAATCGACACTCAAAATATTAAATTTTGAAAGCTAAAATGTCAGTCCTAACTAGACGACTGAGTCCCACTTCCTGATATTTGTATTCGTGATAAATCTTATTCATACAGGATTTTTTTCATTCATAAAGGTTCTGGTCATTCAGTTCCAAACATATGATTAAAGCGAATTTGAAGTCACTGTTTAACTAGTGACTGACTACATTATTATGAGATAAACTGTTTTAAAACTAATTAGAAATAGTAAAGCGATAGAAAACGTTACTACTGTTACTAGTAATACAACTGCCAATATCACCATAAAATAATAAACTTACTGTTTATCATCAGGTAAACGGTAATCTTTCAAAGCATTAAAAATATATGGGTCTATCTGATCAAAATACTCTGATTTCGATGTTATTTGATGATTATTATGACATAATGGACCAGCTTTTGAAGATGATAAGAATACCTCAGAATTGTTTGATGTATCTGCAATAATGCCTTCTGTACGCATATCAATCAGTGCTAACCAACCGATTGCTTTTTGTACAAGACGAGTAAATGGTGCATGCAAACACATGTAGTCTACTTCATTGTTCACCTTCGGTAAAGTATCTCGCCAAGGTGTTGTTATTATACTATTGAGACCTGAAATGTAAATCATAAACAGTTTATTTTATAAAATCTAAAAATGATATTGTCAAAATAGTAGTGTAAATACAAATAAAGAATAATTGACTTTACAAAGAACACAGAAAAGTTTATATTCACATACATGAAAATCATTCATACAATGAATATCATGAATTGAAGAATGGCTCGCTGAAAGGTTTTTGATGAAACGATTTAAAAAGTCATAATATTGTTTTCAATTATAGTCTCGTCTTCATATAAATACAGCTTGTTTATACTTACACTTCATACTTTCGAAACCGACCAATAAGCCTTGTATTCTCTAACTGATAGTAAGGAGTAAAATATAAGTAAAATAATCACAATGTGAATGAGTCCAACTAGTCCTAGCAGAGAATCAGAGAAGCCTTCGGAAATGAGTTCACTGCATTGAGTATGAGAGACAGTACTGGAATTTGCCAATGAACAGTAATTATATCTAAAAATCGCCAAGAAATCGGTAAGTAAACTCTTTACAGCTTCAGGAAGCGTCCCGTTTATAACTTCTTAACGCCCCTTATTCTATTCCAGCACACTGAGAGTAAAATAATACATGTATTAATCTCATTAGTGACATTTCTGAAAAAGCTTGCATACTGATTGATAAGTCTAGCGGTTAAAGCGTACTATCAAGTTGAGAGCGGCAGCTGTATATGGAGTACACTGGAAATTGTTCAAACTCGTACAAGCCACTAATAGCAAGGAGTATGGTTTCAGTCAAACAATCCATGAAACAACACACAAATTGGTACTCTTAAGAGTCACTTTAGAAACCCTGGATAAATCAATGTCGAGTACAGTCTAATGAACACTATTGAAGTCAACTGTTACTAACTAATTATCCAATGTTCAATAAACGTTTGATTGAATAATACTGTTTATCGACGATTGATAGATAAAGTCATAAAGATATTAATTAATAAGTAACATTAAAAGGTTCTGAATGGTGGTCTAACATTGATCGGTTTATGACCTCAATGAAACTCAATAATCTTCACACAGAATATAGAGATGAATGTGAAGTAGTTATTTAATAAGATAATTTCTGAATAGTAAATAGTAATTGTACCAATAATAATAATAATAATAATAATAATAATAATAATAATAATAATAACAGCATACCTAGAATAAACTAAAATACGTTTACCTTTAGATGCTGATTTGTGTCGATATAATTTATAACACATTTCTAATGCCTCTCTATAACACTGCATACTAAAGTGACCATCAACGATAGGATATTCAGAGCTTAAATTTGGCTTGTAAAAATCATAACAATGTTTCATGTAAACAGCTCGTAGACCTTGATAGAATAAATGAAGAAAGTAATGAAAGTCCTATTATACGCTAAAAATATTACTGTTATATAACAAACTGATTCATTTACAAAGATCTACATTGATCTGTAATTTAAGTTAGATATATATTTATTTGTTTAGATTGACTGCATAGAGTGATTAATCCGGAGCGGTAGTTCAGCAGTTGAGACATATGACTAAGTCGTAGGCCCGAATCCAACTACACCTAGTTCTGTTCAGGCATCCAGGTAGTATCATTAGCTGTCAGAGCTTACAGTGTGATTCGAAGCCAAGTACATTAATTTGAACCTAGTAAACCAGTTTAACAATATGATAGACATAAAAAGACGACTTGGCAGTGATTTTTTAGTATTCTATAGTGTTTTTCCAATATTATTCTGTTATAGTATTGAAAAAAACAGGAGTGTCACGTACATGCACATACATGGACAATACGATTTGATACACTAAATAATAGAGTAGACACACTGGACCATGATGCTAGGTACTTGGACCACAAAACTAGAGATCACATGATATACACTTCTGAAAAACGACTAAGAAATGGATTATGAGCAGGAATAACCGTTTATTGATATGAATTATAAGCAGTCAAACAACGTGAACTCCAGAGTAAATACAATGAAATCCGAGTCATATATAAAATATTCACTTATATTCCTATAACTGAATATGCCTATTTTTGCTCAAAAATCGATTATCTCTTCCAACACAATCGGTCCTAACTTGTCCTTAACAGTTAATGAAGACTTTCAGGATTTATCTTATTGTGTTAATCTTCGAATTAATACTTTATAAATAACCACGTCATTTATTTTTGCACAAGAAACCCATTCTTCTGGTTAGTGATCTGGCCGTTTTTCAAATCATTCAGTGACTTAATAATTTGGCCTTATGAGCAGCTATCAATTGGCTACATCATAAAAATTATAAAATCGATAAAACAATAGAGCGAAATGCCCAACACAAATTGGCGATCAGAACAGGAGAGCATAATTCAGCCTGTTACGAACTCAACTCATCAAACAAAATTCGATAACGTATTGATACAAACTGGTGAGCCAACATACCCATTCTCCCAAAATCACTGCAGCTGATACAGATAACAAATTAAAGGTAATCTCCAGTATAAACACGATAACACTACTTCTAGCATTTCAACTATGCATCAACTATTTTCATCCACTGTTCATCTTTCGATTTTGAATTGCACTATTCCTTAATATCATATATACCTATCTAATCTGTTTTTTTCAAATCATATTCCAAAGGCTTAGTCTTTCAATTTATCATTGCTACTATTCCATTTCTGCTATATCCGAACGAAGAATAAATGGATGATAAGTGATAGGAATTATTTATGAACTATTATTACATATATTCCTATTGGATAACTATTAGGTAACTAGATTATACATGTATATTCGTATTACATTCATCATAAGCTTCCATTTGACCAATTGACTACCGTTATACGATTTGCTATCCTTAAGTTAGCCCTAATCTATTAGTTAAAGTCTCTCACAATCAGTCACTTTTGGCTTGATCTCATATAAATGTTATTTTTTAATTTATAAAGTGATGCGGTCTGGTTCGCTAGGTATGTCCGAAATGTATTAATCATACAGTGGCTGGGATTGTGTTCTGGACTAAACAAGCAGGGCTAGGTGAGAAGGACCAATAAGGACTGAAGGCTTCCTACACCGGTCAACATGTTATTGGTTTGGCACAGTGTTAAGATTGTATAAGTCGTGTTCTGATTGGCGATCTTATCACGTCATAATAAACAGGCCAAAAGACATAACAATTGGCGACAGGGATTTTGCGAAAAAAAAAGTAAGGCATAACAAATATAATAATAATATTTCTTTTTGAAGAAAACGAATTCTGTTTGTATACGAAATAAACTGATATAAGAAGTAAAATTTGGAGTAGAACATCAAAACGCAGAATACTTCAAATATCTAAACTCTAAAGATTATTATACGAGAAACGCCAACATGCTGAAGGAGAAAACTTTTTAGAATAATATTGATGTAAAATCTACAAACCAAAAGCTAACACAATCTATGCAATAACGAACAAAAAACATCCTAGTGCTATCTCGTAAAAGCTACGTGATAAACATATCCATCATGTGAAATTTGTAACGCTATAGTAGTTAAGGTATTTCAATTGCAGAATTAGGGATTCCATAATAAATGATAACCAGTGCTTTTTTATTATACTGATACATACTACTAGCAAGTAACAAATATGTTAACATTGAAAACCTGAAGTTCGTGATGCAGTGCTATTTTAGTTATTAAACTCGTTGATCGGTAAAAAGTTCGTCACAAACTAAATGTTCCAAATGTGATTTTTTCGTAGAAATGATGAAAAATCTCAGTCAGAATCTTGAATGTAGTTCAAATGTGATTATATTAACAACATAACTAATGGACGCTTACAATCAGGAAACCTAAATTTTGAGTGATATCATACAACATTCTCTCTACGAAAAACAACTGAGCATATAAATCTTCATGAGACAGCTAGAAAACAATAGTATCTAATGAACAAATCTTTAAAAATTAGGACCTTACCAAAGTCAATCACCAAAGGAGCATTTGGTCCGAGTAAAATTGCTACAGCCCCTGCACCACCGGTAGAACGAGCTGATTTATCCCCATAAACTGCTATATCAGCTGCAACAACCAATGCCATACGGCCTTCATATGGAAAAAAATGCAAAGAGGTCAGAAACACAGTAACACTGCAATCAGACGAAATGCAAAATTAAAAACAGACTGACTGATTTTACATACGCTGTTTTATAAATTGATTTGAGATTTTAATTTAATGCTTTCTTCCGCAAACACCCCTAAAACCCTAATGTATTTGGGATTTCACAAAGGTTTTTAGGCAGTAGTTATATCCTTCACATTCTTATAATGTACATGACTAACAAATCATTAGGCTTATCAAGTACAACACATACATTATCGATTTGCCGAGACTAAATTAAGTAGTAACACAAATCAAGGACTGCATTCGGGTTAACAGATCAAATTTCGAGCCATACTTATGGTGTAAGACCTAAGGAAGCTTAATACTTGGAAAAAAAAATAGATATAGAAAGATAGTGAAACGTAAGACCTGGGATTAAAATGGTAAAAACATTTAAGCAATGTTAATTTGGTTTTAGAGTAAGATAGTGGCTATCATGAAAGTGCATAAAGTTTATTCAGCTTACCATTGCAGTAACTAGATTCAAGCCAGTTAAGCGCGCCGAACAAAGCAGATGTGCCACCAAAACACGCGTTTTTTGTATCCGTTCCTTCAACGTCAAAATTACCAGCTGTTTCGAATAGCTGCATTAGTACGGTTTTCGTAGACTTTGATTTATCTATAATCGTTTCTGTTCCAACCTATAAATTAAACACAAAAGCTTTTATTGCCTAAAGTTATACGGATATAAGAAAGTACTCATTTCTGTAAGCGATTTGACTGTTATAATTTAACTATGATTAGTTACTAATCCTAGTAAAACCGAAATCAATAAAAATGTAAACAAACGTAACCCACGAATCGATTGCTTAACACAGGTAGTATGTTTAGATGGCGGTTAGAGGTAGTCGACAGGAAACCCTGGACCTGGGTTTCGTGCTACTTGGCACTCGTCAGCAAGGTGTACCTGTAATCTTTGGGGGAACTGGTGCTCCCTAGCGGATTTGACCCCGTGTCACACCAGCTTCACAGTCAGAGACATTACCACTGAGCTATCCGGGCCGCGACCGACCTCCTGTAGGACTGACATGTAGTCACAATTGATTGATCACTGGGTGACCAAAGTCATGCGTGTCTAGTCCTCATTATTAGTGCAGATCGAATGCTATCGATCATCACCTAGACTGGTGGCCACATTGCAACATGATCGATAGCATTCGATCTGCACTAATAATAAGGACTAGACACGCATGACATTGATCACCCAGTGATCAATCAATTGTGATTACAAGTAGTATGTCCATAAAATGACATTTTTTTGCACATGGTAGTATTATGATGCGATAAATATAACGGAAAGAATAGATACAACTAAAACGTATTGGTAAGAAATATGTATAATCTTTCGAAAGGTCACTTTTAAGAGGCGAATGTTTATATTGAAAGCGACTATTGGTGAATTTAAACCACAGTGTCAGGGCGTTATGTCATTTGCTCTGACTCAAAATTACTGTCTAGAAGCGAAAATTCTGACAATTTAATCGAAATATGGACACTGTAAACCGTCCACATTTAATTTATTTTCTTAACTAATGCGAATACACTTTCAAATACCAAACTAAGGTTACTCTAGCTTCAATAACAGCCTCATAGAAATTTTTCCATATAGTAGTGAAATAACATTAATACAAACAACAGAGGATTTAAGTATTTCAAAGAACAGCAAATTACTTACCTCGAGAAAACCAATTGTTTTCAGGTCAAGATTTATACGCCTCATAAGGTTGCTCACAACAGTTAGACACATTGAATTTATATCTTCCTGTATTGAACAAAATCCAAGAGATGTTTGTCCTAATCCTTGAGTATACTTTCCCACACATTCGTCCGCTATTTCGAGATCATGTTGAGAGACATAAAATTTTGGAAAATAGATCTCCAAAGCAATAATACCAAAATCTGAATTACTCATGGCTAGATATTTTCGACCAACACAACTACAAAAAGATATTGCAAATATTTTTTTTAGAAAATTAGTTCCATGTAACAGGCTGGCTGACAAACACTACTACTAAACATTATGTACAAAGAATCAGAATTTCCAAGAACAGTGCAAAGTTTTCCTTATTGTTTCTGATGAAAAAAAACTGAGACTCATGAAATGACAGAACTTCTTTTATATTTCACGACTACTCTGAATATGTAAACACCATAAGCACATAAGTTTATCACACGACTTAATAACGGAGTACATGTTCATCTTATAAGGTCTCGAACTGTGCTTGTGTGAGGGCCAGATACATGACCCAGATCCCACTTTACCTATTTGAGACAAATAGTAGTAGAACTGGACAGCATAATGAGAATGCGTCACACAAATAAAGAATTAATATTAGGACGAAACAAACGAGAGAAGGGGAATACGATGAACAAAACGTAAATTTAAAAACAAGTAAATTAAAATAGTACAATATATTGGATATACGTCAGTAAACCAAGAGAACGTTTTTAGGTTATGCAGCTACATTTCGCTTTTATAGAGAATGTAGACGAAAACAACACCAGAATTGGCGGTGATTCCTGGTCCGGGCCATATCTAGTAGTTCCGGCATTCAGATTACAGAAAGTTAGCGATTTCCCTTCGAGTAAAAAGATTAGAAACATTTTTCATCAGTTAGCTCTTGATCACGACCTTACAATGATGTGGGTCCTATAATGGGATATAAAACAAGCACCAATTAGAGGTGAAAAAACTATCTATGAACTTTGAGTTATCTACAAAACTATGAAATGACGAAATAAATCCCGAAATCTGAAGATATTTATTATTAAATAGGTGAGTGCTTAACAACTCAGTCAGTCAGCTACAACGTACGACCAGGTACATATATGCATCGGTACAAGTTGCCATACCTCATTAGCACAACAACGTGAACACCAAAGTCATAGAAGTAATTACTTCAATGGTAGTAATGTATAAAAGAAAGATTGTGTATAAGGATATAATACAGGAAAAAAGAATTACTTCGTAGAAAAAGGGTACAAAGTAATTTTAATCTCACATTTTAAAGGGAAGACAAAGAGTATATACACTTACGCCATTGTGATCGGTTCTGAACCATTGCGCGTCGTGGTAATCGGTGTCCAGGCATATGTAACACGTGGTCCAACTATCTCAGTCTATAAAGATTCACAACCTCATCAACTGATTTACCATCATTCCCTAATACCCTACATATAACCTCAATATTACTTACCCGGTGAACCCAGAAGATGCTGACAATATTTCTAAGACATCTGTGATCAAATACTAGTAACTTACGAGTATCTTCTACTCTTGATGGCCACACTTCGCAGCCGTAAAGTAGAACAGAACGAACTGCCACACAGTATACTCGTCCCTTAATTGATAGACGGATATCTCGCCTTCGCCATAGGTGACGTAAGTTGGCAAAAGCCAAATGAGCTTCACGAATCCACGCAGAGATTTCGTCAGACACAAACTCATTAGGGCTGATCAGACTTCCAAGATAAGTGAAGATATCGACGCGTTCGACTACTTTACTACTGATCCTTAGTTCAGGTGTTGTTTTATTTATTTTAACACATAGGTATAGGTACAAGGAGGCACCAAGTACATATGCGCCACACGAATCTCAATTGATTTGTGTGAGGGCTGTGATACTGTCCGGGTGCCCAAACCGAAGCAGGTGTTGACGCAGGCCAGTTCCGAAGCAACAACTTGCATTTACAAGGGGAGAAACGCATCCCAAACATTCTGGCGTTGTTACTCAGTGCTATCAAAAGACTGCATTTTATCAGCGTCTTCACTAAACACGACTATGTCATCTGCGTATTCTAAGTCGCTGGTCATGGCGACACTTGAGGAGGAAGTTTAGAGTTGAAAGTCGAGGTAGGAGGAATAGTAGGAATTGAGGAGGGGGAGTGATTATGAATACAGTGATCTTGAGTGCTGCTAGACGTATGAGGGCAGTTATCACTTCCCGGTCGCCCACACCGTGGAAGGGTCCTTCTGGAGGTACTTGAAAAGGAAATTGGGTTAGGGGTGGTCTTAGTGACTTGAGAGCGTGACCGCAGTGCCCAAGGGATAGCTGCTCGAGGCCGATCACACACGACCCACCTGTGAGTAATTTTCGTGGTAGCTCCGTGCTTGTTGGGAATTTACCGCCGGAGACGAAAATCCGTGGAATAAGGCGAGGCGTGAATTTTTAGGATCGACCGTTTCTAACCCCACCCTTCCTTGTGTGAAGGCACCATTGCTGTTATGCTGGTTGTCTAAAGGAAACACCTTACTGCAGGTAAAAATAGTTATCTGGTCTTCAAACAAGAAAGCGTTTTGCAACGTAAATTAAATAACAGTGACTTAACTAGCCCATTAACTGGGTCCAACGACTTACAAAAATATGTGATATGGTCACCAAATCATTCGAAAAACAATTATGGCTGACAAATAGTAGTAACAGTTAGCCCCGTCGACCCATAGACTATTACTATCTTAAAGCATCTATTATCGTTGCAGGCTTCTAAGCAGTGGCTTAGTGATTAGGACTAATTTCCAACCATTAAGTTCTAGGTTCAAAGCTAGGGCTTTCTCTGGTCTGGGGAGCCCCCAAAAGCCTTGACACGTTAGAGAGTGGGGAGAGTCCGCTCCCCTCACCAAATGCTCTCAAATAGCCACGCGTATACAACAACTACCAAGGAAGTCCTACTCACTGCCTCCTCATGGCAGTGCTGATTCAAAATTGAGAGGATGAAAAGCAAATGTCCGGCACTTTAACCGGGTTGTTGGACACGGAAGGTCCACCTAGAGAGGTTGTAAAAAGCTGATTCCAAATGAATGGTGCACATGGGCTCCAGGATTCTGAGAGAGCAAATGGCACATGAACCTATCGTTTGTCACAGACTACCATGGGCTCCATTGCCTTGTGGATCAGACCTTTAGGTCGAAGGCTTTAGGTGTAGCCTCCTAAGAAAATAACCTGCTTCAGTTTGGGCACTTGGGCAGTATCACAACCCACACACAAATCAAGTGACTTGTGTGAAGCGTCCATTTTATTAATGCAATTCTAGCTGATGTATATAAAGACTATCATCCTAAAGTTCGTCATTTTTTATATAAAATATGAGTTGACCGATATCTCTCACTACTTTTTCCCTAACTTGCTCATTGCAAAAAAGATTAACTCAGATGCTTTGTGTTGCTGGCTTTTTGCAGATTCATTATTAGTTTTTGAGTCCCTAAATTTGTCATGTTTCTTCATAGTGTTTCTTCATTTAAAGAAATAACTTTGATCCTATTTACGCGAATCGAAAATTTAAATCATAATGCAACCTCAACCGGTGATTCTGGAGCCTCATGCTGCAAATATATGATAGTGAAGGCTTGCGGAGAAATCGCAAAAACGCTTCTCTAACAGGCGGTGGAAGCGATCATTACAATGCGACGCGTTCAACTGACACTACGTTTTCCACCACGAGATTAAAAGTCATTCTGAAACCATCATAATGTGAGAAGTGTTTGTTGATCTTAACAATATTTATGTGTTTGTGGTTCACATGCACTTACCACTCAAAGCAACTTAATGTGTTGTGATGGTAGCGCAACAAATTAGATTACCTCGGCATACAAGGTCAATTTCAAGTATTCCTACTAATAGTCAGATCGCTGTGAATGGAATATAAGAAGCTTCCGCTTAAGGAGCTTCTGTATCTAGCAGCAGTGGACCACCAATACCTCCAGCTAGGAACCTAGGTATATTTAAGTAGCAAAAGACAAAACTTAGTAAAATATGGTGACATAATATCCCGAGTCCTTAAGGATATAACAAAATCCCTTTTGAAACTCAACTGGGAATTCATTGGGATCATCTCATTCTGTACCGTTTTCCGGGGTTTGACTGCTCGTAAACAATGGGAGTGCGGTCCGTTCTTCCATGTTGCGTCTCTAATTTCTGGGTGTCACCTCAAAGGTTTGTGTTGGAGCTGAGCTTAAGTAAGCATCTAAGAGGACGCCCAGAAGTGTTTAGTATGCTATACTTCATTGGGAGGTCACTTATGAGGTACCCATAATCTAATTCGTAAAGGCTGTGTTCTAGGACGCTCTTCATAATGTTTAAATAAGGGTCCTCTATTGAATTTCCTTGATCACATTAAGTTGCGTTTCAGTATATTCTTATCCCTTGGGACTGTGTGAGGTGACATTATATTTCCATATTCTGAAGTGCCAACTCATAATCCCGGATGTACACTTCTCCCAAAGTTTAACATCGTCAGCTTAAAGCAATAACTCAGACGATGCATATTTAGAAAGTTCATTTACAAAGATGATAAAGAGAAGTGGTGTTAGTGCTAAGCCTTGCTGTAACTCATTTGAACGTTCCGTAGCCTGACAATAATAGAAGTCTACTCTTACCATATGAAACAAACCAGTTCGCTAATATTGAATTTATACCTATTAGTTTGAGCCTATTGGTGAGATATATGACTACGGCCATAGTGTCTAGTGCCATATCAAGCCCACATTGGTTATTCTAGCTTCCAAGCAGACTAGTTTACTCATTCTTCTTTAATCACATTTCGACCTTGTCAATTAATTTCCTATTAATCTTGACTGTTTTATATGAGAGTATGTGTGTGCATTGTTTATCCCACGCATAAGGTTTCAGTGACTTATTTTTGTCTGGCTATCATTATCGAGTCACGCTTGATCCACTCGAGTTGGCTCGCACTTGCCTTCTCTGTCCTGCTCTTTCTTCGTTTCCCCTCTTTTCAGTCCTTGATAAACGAGTGCTTAAAGTAAATTCCTCCAACGCGACCCCTATTCGCCTTTTTATTATCACCATAACGCAACCAAGGTTAGCCTCGGTAATATACAGAAATAAATGGAAGGTTTATCTACATAGCATCTTCGTGCGATTAAATCGAACTCAGAACTTGGCCTACAACCCTGCCAAAAGCTTGAGACAAGTTGGGTCATACAACACCAACCTTCCCTTCGTGTGATTATAAATGGTTGTCCACCTGTCCACCACAGTCATTTTTTTCGATTATACAGGATGGGGCTTTTCCGAAACTGTGTTTTTGCTGGCTAAAAGACGTTTGCTGAAGGGCCGTTGTATATTAGGTACTGTATAACTTTTTAGGGTACAGATTAGAATGTTATCGAATGGTAGCTTGAAGTTTGTTTGTATTAGCGTCATTTGAAGATTTGTGTGATGGGTGTTAGCTTTCTATTACCTAGTACTGTGCATTGGCTTAGCAAATGTAAAGACATCGCATTAGGTGGCGTCGCCAATTTTGAAGCTGCTTATCTCACTATAGAGAAGCAAACCATATCTGGGTTGGATGCTGCAGTTTCTGATAATTCAATTGCGAATTTAAGTTCACTTCCAAGACTCCTCTTATGTTGCCAGTGAAGCTATTATCGATGTAGTCCTTATGTGACACTTGAAATAGTTAAATATAGTGTTCTACCGGAAAATCTTCAGCATCGCTGCCTTTTCTGGTCTGCTCATTAGAAACTAGCAGCTGAAAACTCCGGGTTTGGGTCGTCGAAAAAGGCCGCATGACGGGATAAATTCCGCAAATTGAAGACAAGTTTATCGACTAGCTTGCCCTCTCTTATCAATTATGCGCAATTCTTCCTCGCGTCTTTGAGCTGCCTGTATGTGCAGTCGTCACATGTTCATCTGTTTTCCTCCCAGTAGCGCTTTTCTAGTCCTGGCGGGTTAGATTCTTTATGATTGTACGTATCTTCTAAGTTTCAGGGATCGGTTTCAGAACAGACTGTTAAGCAGAATGTAATATCATATGCAGTAAGAAATTCCAGTTAGCGTCCACTTCAATCTGCGGGTAGACTTCCCAGTTTATATAGTCGTATTAAGCTGATAGAGCCAAACGTTCGAGATTCTAATGCCCGTTATTATTAGAATGTTTCGGCTCAGTTTCGCTCATAAAATTGAAGACTATGGCAGAGTAATCACTTTCTTCCAATAAAGCCAGAATTGAGAGATTGTCTCATCCCATCGTTAGAGTCGGCATTTGCTGCTGATGAATTCTGAGGAACACACATAGGATGGGGA